ATAGATATACATATGTATATTAGGGAAAATTACAGCAGCGGTCCCTAATCTTTTTAATTTTTGCAGACTTTACCCTAACCTTCATTTTGTGACAGTGAAAGTCTCCAACCTTTCATAAATGTGCAGTTGAAGTCCATCTGGATGGAAACCGTCTATTGTTCCGTTAGTTGACCAAAAATTGGAGAAACTGATCAATTTTGACCAAATTAGAAGGGGCAAAATGGTACTTTGCTTTTTTTTTTTTCATATTAAATATAAAATAAGTTATTTAATTAAACTAAAAAAACCAAAAACTAAATATAAATAATATATAAACCCATCAAAACATTTCTCCTTCTTCATCTTCGGCGAGACTACCACCTAGCCACCGTTGAACACACTGTTGTCATCTCTACCACAGCTCCCCTCACCACTTTCCCCACTACCAGTGGAAGTCACAAAGCGAAAAAGCAGCTTGCAAGTAACATCGGTCAAAGAGGATTGGGAAATTATTGGGGAAAACCTAGGAGACCAAGAAAAAGACAATATAGCTGAGAAAAATCCTTTGGTGGGTTCATCTATCTCTCGTGTTAGAGGTGATAAACCCTTGCAGGAAGAGACCCATGCCACTATTATTGTTCAACCCCAACACAATGTAAGAAGAAGCACGTCGAGTTAAAGGGCATGTCTATCTCAGATTCGGGTAGATCTAGTGAGTCAGGGCTTAAGGAAAGCAGATCTACCCCCTTTGAAAGCAGAATTGGATGTAGATAAGCTAGAGGTTCTGGAACAAATCAAGGCGGTACTGATTGTTACCGTCAAGTCGACCCAATATTTGGCCCTCTCTCATCCTCTTCCTTTTCATCGCTCACTTGTGGAACTCGACAATGCAGGTCCTTTGAAGTGTCTGAATGCCATAACAATGTGTGTCTCGACGAGGACTCTTTGTCGGAGCCCCCGGTTTAATCGGCAGTGCATTATCTTTCCCTTCTCAATTTTGAGAATTTTTTGATTTTTCTGTGGAGGGTGATTCTACTGGTAGTAGGAGAAGTGGTGAGGGGAGTTGTGGTGGAGATGGCAACAGTGTGATCGGCGGTGGCGGCATTGGCTAAGTGGTAGTCTCGTCGGAGAAGAAGGAGGAGAAATGTTTTCATGGGTTTATTTATTATTTATATTTAGTTTTTGGTTTTTTAATTTAATTAAATAACTTATTTCATATTTAATATGAAAAAAAGCAAAGTACCATTTTGCCCCTTCTGATTTGGTCAAAAATGATCAGTTTTTCCAAATTTTGGTCAACTAACAGAACAATGGACAGTTTTCGTCCAAATGAATTTCAACTACACATTTATGAAAGTTGGGGACCTTCACTAGCACAAAATAAAGGTTTGGATAAAGTCTATAAAAATTGATAAGGTTAGGGACCGCTGCTGCAATTTTTCCTAAATTTTATTTGGGTCAAATATTTAATTAGTGATGGAGTAATGAAAAATATGTCAATATTAGGCTTGTTGGATAGCTCGTAATTAATTGCGTATGGTGGACTCGAGAAAAAGTCAATTCGGATAAGTTAGATTCAAGATAATGAAGTTTATAGACCTTATCACTTATTAGTAATTGTTTATAATTATTATTATTTTTACAAGGACTACCTACACGTGTAGATTGGGTAGGGTTAGAATAAAATAGTATTTTTTTTTATAGGAATGATAAAATATATTATATCATAGTCAAGTTTCTTGGAATATTACACAATAATATGACATTGTGCTCCCATGACGCAAGCCATCTTGATTGAGAATTTAGAAATTTTCCTTGTTTGAATTGAAAGGAATTGATAGAGACGTTTTTGAATAAAAACAAATTAGTAAATTGAGCCACTGACATGGGAAAGCGTGTGGCTTTATGATGTGATATAAATGGTATAGATAGAATACACGTAGAAAATCCTTCTCTAACTTAAATAAGCATTTTACATTTAGGGAAAAAAATTTGTTATATGTTTAATTGAACAAAAGGGAGATCCACGCTCACAAAATAGGGGGATGCTTAGAACGTGAAACTACTGTATTTCTTTCAAGAAAACTCTTTTCATCAATCAAGTTAGGATTACAAGGTACAATTTACGTTATCCCATTTAAAATATTTTTTTTCATGTCGATGAATTATTATGAAATTTAAAGATATGATATGATGTGAAATATTATGATATGGTCATCCGGTACCAAAGATATGGTATGTGTTGACCTCTTACCGGTTTTAAAGATATGATGATTATGATAATAATAAAATGAAAAGTATACACGTTTTGCACAATAATATTGAAACGTATGAATATTTTATGCTATTACCCAAGATAAAAATTCAATTATAAAATATAAAAAGTTACTTATAAGAAAAAAATTGAAACAAAATTATTTAAAAGTATAAAATTAATTTATAATAGTAAAATTTACTCATAAATAAAAAATATTAACTCAAAATTTTAAGTAAGTATGTAACCTTATTTTTAATTTAAATATTAATTTATATGTAAAAAAATTATCTGCAAGTAAAACAATTTAAACCTTGACAGTGGCGAACATGAGGTCATAGGGGGTCCACTCGACCCCAACTTTCAGTTCTTTGTAAAACATTTATTTATAAAATCATGTTTAAGTAAATTATTTCATGAGACCCACAATTTTTTAACTTTTATCAAAATTTACTAAATATCTTATTTTAATTCATATCAGACGGAGGCAAAATCATAATAGATTTGAACCTTCTCTCTTTTCTTTCTCGCGATTCTTGCGCTTTTCATTAAAACCTTAACTCTTTTCGATTTGTACAAGGTTTGATTATGTTTCTAACGCAAAATGTTGGCTTTTGCCACTAAAATTTGATATACATGTAGCAAACTAGGTAGGAATTGCTTCTTATGCTAAAAAAAAGTTGACCATAGGAAGCCACAATTATTCTCGAAGCAAAATGAACTTGTTATATATTTCCTTCAGGAACAAGCCACAAAGGGGGATAAATTAAGAGCAATTTATAAGTACAATACATTTGACAGCATGATTGACAGCTTTCTCATATATAAGAAATGGGTACCATGATTAAAATAATCGTAGACTCTACATGAAGTTCTTGGAATTGTATAGGCTAGTTGTTGGAGAAAAAAGTTTTAATCATTAATGGAAAATGATGTGTGTACATCACCTCTAATTAATGGGAAATGATATTAAAACAAGAAAAAATAATATCATCATTTTCCATTAATTAAAAGTTCTTGGAATTTCATAGGCAAGTTGTTGGAGAAAAATGTTTTGCTCATTAATAGAAAATGATGTGTGTACAGTTTTCCATTAATTAAAAGTTCTTGGAATTTCAAAGGCAAGTTGTTGGAGAAAAAAGTTTTGCTCATTAATAGAAAATGATGTGTACGGCACCTCTGAATAATGGGAAATGATAATAAAAAAAGAAAAAATAATATCATCATAGCAAAACTTTTTTCTCCAACAACTTGCCTATGAAATTCCAAGAACTTCATTGTAGAGGCGGTGGCAGGTCCCAGTTTTCTTCTTGCTTTATTAGAAGTTGACTTTTTGTTTCCTTGATCCTTCCTCATTGTTGTTTATCAATTTTATCACTTCAGTCTTTTGATTGAAGAGGAAAATATAAATTAACATTTACTAAGTCCTTGTTTGACAATTATTATTTCAAAACTCCTTGTTATATCTATTCGTTTTTAACCACACAACAAAGTATTCTTCATGCAAATTTAAAAATTTTCCCTACTCTTTAATCACCCAAAAATTTACTATTTAAAATATTACTTTGAACAAATAATGACCATAAAACAGTGGCTAAGTTAAGCCTTCCACATGAAAGAAAAGGTACATACTTTATAATGGAGTGTGTGAGTGTAGAAGAATGAATATGCTGTATAGGTGTGCAACTCTTTTATGACAAACGACCACAAAAATAAAATTTAAAAGAAAAAAGGACTTAAGAAGTCAACTTTCAAGTAAAAAATTACATGTTTTGAAACTGCTTTTAACAAACGCAGTATAGATTAGTCGCGTCCTTTACGATTTCCAGGAAAGGTAGTGAAAGATGTCCAACAATGACTGATCTATAGTCACAAACCACCACAAAAAAAAAGGACCTAAGAAGTCAACTTTCAAGTAAAAAATTGCATGTTTTGGAACTGCTTTTAACCAATACATATAGATTAGTCACATCCTGTACAATTTTTAGGAAAGGTAGTGGAAGAAATCCAATAATGACTAATCTATAGTGCATTTGTAGACTGACATTATAAAAATCTAAATCTAGCCTCTTACCGTACACAACATCAATTCTCTTCGAGTTCTAGCCAATTTTCAAAAGAACTCATATAACAGCAAAAGGACTCGAAATAAAAAAAATGGCATATTGTGATGACTATGCTGAGCCGGGCTATGATCCTGGAAAGTTCAGCTCACCAATGCCATGGATTGGCATCCATGTTGCATTACATCTGCAATCTGCTCCCTTGGAATGGCTCTTGATGCAATCATTGGTTTCTATAAGTAGTCAACTTTCAAGTAAAAAAAATTACATGTTTTGGAACTGCTTTTGACAAATGCAATATAGATTAGTAGCATCCTGTACAATTTACAGGAAAGGTGGTGGAAGATGTCAAGTAATAACTAATCTACAGTCACAAACCTCCCAAGAAGATTTAAAAAAAAAAAAAAAAAAAAAGGAAAGGAAAAGCAAAAAAAAAGGACCTAAGAATTCATCTTTCAAGTAAAAAGTTACACGTTTTGGAACTCCTTTTAACAAATGCAATATAGATTAGTCACATCCTGTGCAATTTCTAGGAAAGGTAGTGGAAGATGTCTAGTAATGACTAATCTATAGTACATTTGTAGACTGACATTATAAAAATCTAAATCTAGCCTCTTACCATGCACAACATCAATTCTCTTCGAGTTCTTGCCAATTTTCAAAAGCACTAATATAATAGCGAAAGGACTCGAAATAAAAAAAAAATGGAATATTGTGAAGAATTTCTTGAGCGGTGCCGGTACTTGGGCTATAATCCCAAAAAGTTCAGCTCACCAATGCCATGGATTGGCATCTATGTTGCATTCGCATCTGCAATCTGCTCCCTTGCAATGGCTCTTGATGCAATCAATGGTTTCTTTAAAAAGAAATTTTGGTTTCCATGCAGAGTTTTTACTCTTAATGCTGCTTCATTGACATTATTAGCTATTGCAGTGAAGTTGCCAATGGATTTGAACAATCCAATGCCACGATACCCTGATCAGCTTGCAAAATTCAGCAGCACTGTTCTGATGTCAACAGCGATGGCTAATTTTATGCCATCTCTAGGATCCATGGATGACAAGGAAATCTTTATGAACATGATAGCCTTGGGAATATTTGTCATCACCCTACTTGTGAATGTATGCATCCAGATATACACTGGTGTAATCTACGCCGACTGGTTCCTGCAAGCTCTGGTCATGTTTTTCATAATTGTCATGTTTGTGATTATGAGTTTCCCGTCCTTGGTGGTTCCAACCACCAAAAAATACTTGGAATTTGAGTTTCGGAAAATAGATAGCATGATAGCCAGTGAAGATCCGCGAGAAAATGGAATGACTGCAATTGAGAAACTCAAGGAAGACTTAAAGAAGTATTGGATAATGGCAGAAACCGGTAACCCCCAATTTGTGATGGCACGATCTGTTACTTGCACGGCATGTTGTGCTATCTGCATTCTTAATGTTCTAATGCTATCACTAGTATGGATTCAGAATATTATCATTTACTTTTACATTGGCCACCATCGCTATTTTCATCCCGCATCGGACTATGGGAAATCTACGTATGTCATTGCGTGGATTCAGTCCATAGGCGTGATAATAGGCACAATTGGCCCTTTATTTCGATTGGTACGTGCCGTGAAATTTAAGCGCTCTATACTAAAAATTGATAACATTGGGTTCAAATTGGAGAAGTATTGGATTGAACGGCTGTTGGACTGGAAAGAGAGACCTTTGGCATTGCGAATACGAAATAGGAGATGCCAAAAAGTAGTCCACAAAACAAAAGATCTGATGCTGTCCTTCTGTATAAAGATTAAAATTGCAGTGGTGGCAGTAAGCAAATCTTTGTTGCTCATGTCGACTTTTTTGAGTTGGCCGTTCTTCTCGTGCTATTTCTGTTTCTTGAGGTGTAGAGATTATCTAAAATCCAATGGGTCAAAAAATAAGCAAGGATCAGGACTGGAATCAAAAGATCCAGATATAAGTCATTATGTTTTACATCTTGAAGGTGAGGAGCAACTTCCTAGAGCCATGGGAGACTACTTATCAGTTGTTTCTAAAGGTCGAAGGCAGCCATCACAACAACTACGAGATCTTCTTCATGAACTGACTAATTTCAACAGCTTGGCAGAATTTGATAGCAGTCAAATTCCATCTGTGCTTTCTTTAGAGCCACCTAATTGTTGGAAATTGCCTGTTGTGACATTATCAAGCATTCTCATAGCGATTCCTAACATTGATGATGACAAGGTGGAGTCTGTGCTGAACTGTGTGCGTAAAGGAATGGCATACGTCAGCCTCGTAGATAAAGTTCTTGCCAAAAAATTGGATTTGAAGAAGGTTAGAGAAGCAGCAGATGCTACATGGTTAGACGTGGATCTCCTCTGTAGGTGGCAAGGTGAAGACCTTCGGAACATGGCTACTGAAGGAAAAACATCCAAGGAGATTCTTGAAAAGCTTTGTGTCATTGCTAATAAATATGTCATCGAATTCAAGATGAAAGGAAATATAGTTCCTGAAAATCTCGAGTTGTCCATTAAGGTAATTGCTGCAAACTCAATGTATAGAATCAGCCGAACTCTTCTGCTGCTGTACAATGGTATCAGTGAACCCAGTGAAGAGGAAATCTTCAAGCACATATCCATTCTCATTGCAAATATATTAGGTGCTTGCCTTACCAATATACCTCAGGTTATAACTATGAATTTTCGGTCCATTGCCCCCGAGAAAAGGGAGAAGAGCGTCTGCCATGCTGCTCGAATTCTTGGTGAAACAGAAGAAATTTTAGAAGCCCTCCAAAAACATGACCTTCCTGTCCTGACACCAGAGCAGCTGCTCAATATTGATGAATGGCGCGTTTCAATGGAGGAGAAAATTCTTTCATCTCCTATTACTGCATCCAGTGGCACTAGGCCTTCTAGTTTTAATGAACTGCAGACAGTTGTTGATCAGTAGGAAGCTTGTGAGTTTTAAAGACAATATATAATTGAATCTGTGTATTTCATTGATCAAGTATATGTTATGTACAAGCATATTGCAAAAGTTCTGTTAACATTCTTAGACATGTATCTTACTAATTCTGCTCCACGATAATCAGAATTTTTGGGTTCCTTTGAGAGGATGCATGCCACCAATAAAGCAGTGCATATTCTAGTATTGGAAAACATATTGAATTAGCTTAGATTGAGCCTTTTCAACCAGAATTGCCTAATCAAGAAAGGCCTTGATATTTATAGTAGGTGTACAAAGACAGACATGAATCCTGGTGCAAAATCTGCTCAGTCACCTCCTCAAAGTTACAGTTGCTAAGTTAAGGTTAGCCGAGCCTATAAATTCATAATGGATTTGAAATCCTCTAAAAATATGTGTAACTCCTCCATTCTTGACTGTATTTTATGCGTAAACTAAAAATTTCAAACCATTATCAAATCCAAATCCGTCAATAAGAAGTGCAACGGTACTGAATAAGCTTAACCATTCTAATGCATGATTACCGTAAGAACTACTCGACGGCTGGGATTTTCAGAGTTCTCACGATTGCAGATTGTATATCTCTGTGATGATCAGGGATATGCTAAAAGTGTAATTCTTCTAGGTAGGCCAGTACATTCATGCTGTTTATTTCAGTTGTCTCAATTAACTGTCACTGAATTAGATTATTGAACAAATTACGATGATGTTTTTGTACAAATTGCAATTAGAATACACGTCTAAGAAACTTATGCAACATTATCAGTGTAGCTTTTTATTCAACAATTATATGCACCTCATCTGAGCTAGAAGGACTAATGTCAGTACTGGATATAGGACTAGGAGTAGGAATGGGTGGAGTTTTCTCATTCATTCAAGTGCGCATTCATGAGTATATAGCATCTGTTTGGGTATCAGATGGAGAAGATCATATTTTTGAAGAACTTCTAAAATGTCCTTGGTATCACCAAGACTTAGAGCTGCCTCGTGGACACTCTTCTCCCTCTTCTCAAGCGAAAAGGACTCAAAATTTATAGTGACAACTTGAGGTATGTTGGTAAATGAAGCACCTAATAGACTTGCAATGAGAATGGATATATGCTCTAACAGTTCCTCACCAGTAGGTTCCCTGGTAACACTGTATTGCAGCTGAAGATTTTCTCTGATTTGATACGAGATCAGTAGCGATGCAGAGAAATACATAACTTGGAAGTTGTTTTGTAGAGGAAAAAATCTTACCTGTGCTGCTAAATGGGGTTATTGCAAAGCAGGTTTCGTTGCATTTCAGCACCAAAATGCAGTTGAAAATTCCTTTCCAAGCATGGAGGTACGCACACCATGCCCTAAAAGGCTGGAGAATATACAAAATTCTTATTCCTCTATTCATCTTCTGGTTTCCATCGAGTTAAAGAAACAGAAGCAAACACGATGGAATCAAAATGAGTGCTGAAAGGGTCATATGGAGAATAGAACATCTTGTACAATTATTAGTTAGCACAAGCTCAGTTACTGCTCTCTAGAAATCTACATAACATCAGAGGCAAGATAGAGGGGCGCATAAAGTTGGTGAATTGACTTAAACCATCAAGAGGAATAATCAAACTTAACTCAGATGGCTGCTTTAAATGATCCACTAGCACAGATCGAGGAAGGGGATTTGCAAGAGACCATGAAGGAATGGTTAAATTTTCCTGTCCTGAATATTATGTTGAGCTTAACAGTCTCGAGGCAGAATTCAGAGCATGAAAAACTCGTTCCTGTACGTAAACGGATTTCACCCAAGAAAAAAAGGAGGAAGAAGAAGAAGAAAGAAAAAAGATTGGTGGTAGTATATATAGCCCTTGTTTGGTTCAGTTGAAAATTTTGATTAAAATTTATAAATCGATAATTAACCACACATTTCATATAACTACAACTTTTAAACCACATATTCTATTTACTTTGATCAAAATCTACTAAAAATCTTATTTTTATTTAAACCAAACAGATCTACAATGTTCCTAATATAAACATAAAATTTAGGATTGTCTTTAATATTTTCTTGAAAATGGCAGAAGATGAAACCCGAACTCCTGCTCTTTATTTTATGAATAATGCTATTTGTATATCATAATTTACAGATTGATATAGAAAATGATAATGTGGATTATATTAACTAACTTTTGACTGACTATTTTTATTTTATTTTATTGTTTTCATGCTCTCCTATTGTCCTCTTTTTCTCTCTTCCATATCATCATTATGTAAATCAATTTTTAAATCATGATGTACAAATAGAATTAATCTTATTTTTTGATACCATGTTGAGTTATCTCTGTTAAAAAATCAAAGCTTTCTATTCGTAGACGTCACTTTTTCCTTAAATCGGTTAGGATTCATCAACAGAAGCGATGGATGGGGAACAAATATTTCTTTGAAGGATTAATTTAGAATACTTTTGAGTTCGAGGATGGATTTGTAATACTTGCAAATGTTCAAGGCCGGATTTGGTTTTTGTCCTAAATTTCCCCTCTAGTTTACTGTTATAAATGTGTTTTCCATTCCAATCAAATTAGGGTTTCTTTCTGAATTAACCCAAATCTTTGCATTTACAGTAAATTAGGGTTTCAAGTTCTGCTTGTGCAGTGTCTCTAGTCATTGACGTGGATGAAAAAGTTCCTTAAGACGGTTGGAATAGTTAGGCAATAAATGAGAAGAAGAGTACACCTTTTGATTCTGGGATTGGAGTTGCTGGATCAATTAGCCAGCTTTAGCCACGCTTTAGCAATTCTTTTTCTTTCCTTCTCTGCTTGCATTCTGTTTCGTATGTCTAAACCAAGCCTGCAATACAATGGAGATCTTTGCGCACAACGTCCTATGACGGTGCAAATTGTGCTTGTAGACTCGTGAAGGTCCCCTTTCATCCCCGTCTCCTGTTTCCTTATGGTCTGGTGAGTGAGCTTCTCTTGTGCATAGAGATGTACTGGAAACCAGAATGATAGACATAACTTCATCTAAATTTTGAAGGCAGAATATGAGGCTTTGTGGTCCTCCTAATTTAGTTAACTTATTATACATTAGACTAAAAATTTCTACTATCACAGGATCATATATTTCAGTTTCAACTTATGAATTCTACATTTATTTGGGCTATTTTGGACATTTTGTATACTTCCTTTCATCCTGGTAAAGTTTTGAGCTTTTTTTTTTTTTTTTTAATAAGTTTCTGAAGCTGCAATTATAGGCAATAACATCTGAAGTATGTGAGTTCAGTATTTTAGAGTACATGTCACTGTACCTCAGCAATTATACATGTTTGTTTTACTATCTGTTATAACATATATATTGTTGTATTTGCAAACTAGACATCTTTTGAGGAAGCGAAACTGAGTGAAAGTGTGAAATTGGCCACATATCCACTTGGATATACCTTCTATATTTGATGAGTATTCGTCTCCTCCTTTGTCTTTCTACATCTCTCTCTCTCTCTCTCTCTCTGTCTCTCTGCTCTACGGACATGTTCGCTACTTATTTTAAAGTGATACAGAAGTTTCTCTTCTCTGGACCATGTCAGTATATTGATAGCACTGGTGCAAGCAGTTGGTATTTCATGGCAAATACAGTAATTGACTCGAATGAAATCATTCTTTTCCTTTGCTAACCTAGTTTCATTACCATTCCACCTTTGGGGTACTAGTTTGATAAGTTCATTCTTTAAAGGGCGAAAGCAGTGGTGTAAAATGGATTTGTCTGTCTTGAGAGTCAAGCAGGTTTTTAAGGGACTCGCATTTCCAATAATTGCGCTAGACATGGTTCAGCATACCAAAGAATGCGTCTTCTTACTGGCCTAAGACGTAAAAATGAAATACTTCACAAGTCATTTATACAAGTTGTTAGGCGCGGAAGTTGTTACCATAAACATGCTGAGGAAGCGATGAAACTGTATTAGTCATAGCTTCATTTTCATCCCAAATGTAATGTTTTGTGTTTTTGTATTTTTCTATGTTAGTACCAAAGCTATATTTCTATATTTTCTTTTTTCCCCGTCCCAACTTTCCCTCTTGACATATAGATTATATATAATGGAAAAAGTAAAAATTAATTTTATATCAGAATGAAATGGGGTTAAAAATTAATTTTATATCAGATACCTTTGATCTCTTCTTCCCTACAAATAGTTTGAGCAAATCTTGATCATGATGGACAACCCCTTAGCGTCGGCTAGCTGGGAAGGGGAGTTGGGGCCGGCGTAAGGAGGGGATGGGATTTGCCGAGTAGACATGCCTGGACTTGATAAGGATCAAGATAAAGTCTCGATGGAGCAGAACACCCTGGTTATCAAGGGGAAAGTGAAAAAGAGTCCGAGAATGAAGAATATGGAAGAAGATACTCGAGCATCTGTATAAAACTCGATGGGATAAAGGCTGAGATGAAGAATGGGATGTTGAAAGTTGTGGAAGAAGAGAGGAAAGATGTGTTTTAGGTTAATCAATCGATGATGTGTTGTGCAAATAAAGGGTTTTGAGAAGAAATGATCTAATAAGCATCAGTATTTATCTTATGTTGAAAACCGGTGATGTGTCATATTAATTCATTAGTATATGATAAATTTAGTTCAAATGTTCAGACCCGATAAAATCTTTCTCAACGAATGAATTGATACGACACGTCATCGGTGCTTATCATAAGATGAATACTGATGCTCATTAGTTCATTTCTCGGGTTGTGAGTATTCTTAGTTTATTCTTGTTTCTCGGTAATAATGTCGGGATAAAGGTTCGTAAATCTTCTGTTTCTTGACTATTTCTTTGAAGCTTAGCCATGCCATGTCTTATCAAGATGGTTTAATTTATTTAAGTTGACAAAATGACAGTTAGCAGCTTAAACAACAATTCTAAAAGGATCAAACGGCATCATTTAACCAAAGGGGGGGGGGGGGGGGGGGAAGAGAAAGGAAGAAAAAAAAAAAAAAAGGGGGGGGGGGGGGAGAAAGAAAAGAAAGAAAGAAAGAAGCATTAAAAAAAAAGACAAACAGATGATCTTATGCTTTGTCTCTATCTCCGTCTCTGTCTCTATCCCTTATTAGTTTGAACCCATGCACAATATCTTGTAATCCTCTATAAAGAGGATCGAAAAAAATGTCACGTAGAGTGCTTAAAATCCAATCTTTAATTGCATCTAAAGCAGACTGGCTTATTATCTTTATCATCAGCATAGTGAATAGAAATATTGAACTCCTGTAAAAGTAGAAATTATATAAATGAAAAGTGATTCTAATTAAGATTAAACATGTGAAATTTCCATGTTTGCAGCGTATGAGCTCGAAGGTTAAAAACCAAAAAAAAAAAAAAAAAAGGAGTCATTAGCAAACCAAAATACTCTCAACAGCCTCCTTTTAGTTAAAAATATTCCAAAGCTAAGGATTTTCCACTGTCATTGCCTCCAACTTTCCAAGAACCCAATGAATGAACTATAACACAATCACTTGATAACTCGTCCATTCAAAGATGAGCTAAGTGACACGGAAGACTTTTTAATGCAATGAAGGGAGAGTGTTATTTTTGGCAGGACAAAATGAAAGTTCAAAAATATATTATTAACTCACGAGTCGCGTGAACTTTGTTTAATCGAAAATGCTCTGTTGCATTCACCCGATGTAAATAAATAAATGTACTTGATCTGGTTCAACATAGTATTGTATGTACTAATCTCATCGCTGCCTATTTATAAAAAATTTATATACGACTCTAGCCATCTGGCATGTACTTGAAGGGAATTCATTGAAGACTAAATTTAAGTTCATAGAAAAGGTGGTTCTACACAAGTTTTTAGTCGGATTGGTTTAAAGCTCAATTTAAAAATGCAACACCCACCCTGTCACCTCATCAACTCAAATAATTAGTATCAATGAGATCGACAGAGATCTTGAAGATTGACGAAGATAACAAAGATTGACAAAGATTATTACTTAACATAATTATGTATATAATTGTATTTACCATACATAGGTTGATTACATCTATTATATTTAGATTGATACTATAGTTGTATAAGGTAATACATTTGTTATATAATGCAAAGAATTCCTCAAGAGAAGATCATTTAGTCAAAAGTTTGTCATATAATAGAACAGAATCAATAGTACAACCAGGAAAAAGTAGCGTGTAATTCAATTGGACATGATTTGTTGTTATAAAGTGTTGCAAATAAAAGTTTTAAAACTAAATATGAATACCAGATGAGCAGCAACGTCTTTTTCATGAGATACCAGAAAATTATGGCAAGCACGGCAATGGTTATCCATGCTACCTACACATGAGAAAGGTTACCAAAGTAAATAATCACCATCAAGAAAATAATTTAAGTTCAGTCTATTTCAGCTACCAGGAACATATTTGTGACACAAGGGAAAGAGACTTTCAACTAGATCAGCAATTGATGGGAAACTTATCCTTGAATATTGATTTTCATTCTCACCTCTTGACAGAAATCAATTGTTAATGCACAGACCATTACACGAAATAATGACTATCAGCAAACAGAAACTTCAGCTGCCCAAGAAAAACTTACTATTCCATCAGGAACTACTGATTTAACTTGGAGAGGAAAAATGTAATCTGCATTCAGTAGGCCATTTTGACTACGATGTCCTTCCTCATCGAACTATAAAACAAACATGCCATTCATTTTTCACTTCATTTAACTCGTATTTGAAATAAAGAGTTCTATAAACTAGAAGGACACATTTTATAATGCTTCCGGGAACGGTGGTTAACGAAATGATCTTGTGCAGAACAGTTCTGGAGAAGTCTTAGTTAGTTTGAGGCCAAAACATTGTACAATTTTCTCAAGATATTAGAGCACAAGTAACTCTTTTGCATCACACCTTTCAAGCAACCAAAAAGAGGTTAATCCGAATCAACCCCAGCTAATTGGGAAATAGTATTGTGAAAGTGAAATTTACTCGTGCCAATGCTTTCCATTGTTCTTGGTTTATTTTATTTTATTTTTTCGAAACTGGAAAACTGGCCCCTAAAACATTCTCAAACCGGCTTTAAAATATATCCGAGAGGCTAGAAATAGAAAACAGTGTCGGCTTTAAACAAACTTGTACTGATTAATGTGGGTATGATTACCAGTATTTCAACATCTTCTTTGGTTGCACCAGAACTCACGATTAAACTCCGAATTAGAAAGTTGTTCTCACATTGCATGTTGCGAGGAGCCTCCTCCAAGGCTTGCATTGTTACTGCAGAACATGTAAAAGTAAAAATGTTAAAGATTGTACCCTAATGTAATGTCTACTTTCGAGAACAATAAATAATCATAAAACGACCAAAACATTTATAGTAGTTCACTCTCATTGTTTGCATTGTAATGAAGAAAAACATTACTATTTTTTCCTCGCTTCTGTCTTGTACACATAAAAGATCCATGGTATACTAGGAATTTAGGTCAATCCAGAGTGCTTCTTTTATTACCAAAATATAAGATGAAATAAAGAAAAGGGAAGAAATGGATCAAATCCTCGGATGTCAAAATTCTAGAGGGCTATGAGGATAGCCTTGGGGACCAGCTAGGATACACACTGACAACCTCCAAGTGTCGGCTTTGATGTCTGACATGTACTAACACGTGTCGAAAATGTGTTAACACTTCTTAATTATTATTTTTATTTTGTACAGTTAGACATTTTATCAACACACTAAGAGATAAGTATGTTGGATAACAACATGTTTCGGAAATTCCAGCAGCGTGTCCAAGTTATTTTTTTTATTTTGTACACATGGACACATTGTTGACACTATGTGAGGTACATTGTCGACTTTCTAGAATTAATAAAAAATGATATTTACTTTACAATATAAAAAACAGGAAACAATGTATATACTTTTTTCTTTTTGAAAAAATTGTGTTTGACTTGCCATGTCATGTCATTTCGTAACAGAAGCTCATTTCTGTATCCGTACTTCATAGGGGACAGCAACAAAAGGAAAAAGAAGGTTTTATTTTTCTTCTATCATCTTAGCAACAAACTAAAAAGAAGACCCTTGAAATGAAACCACCTGTGAGATCACATGTTGATCTGGGCGAAAGAATTCCAAGATTGGGTTCACATCCATAATTCATGGGATTTGGGTTTACAACCTGAAAACAAAATCATATTCAATCAAAATACACTTTCACATACAATTGAAGAACTCATCCTTAAAATCGACTTGTAAGGAGAGGGTGCTCAAAGTGCTTACAAACTCACAACGCCTTCCATGAGCAACGTGGAATCCAATGCAATTAGTATACTTACAATATATTACTCAAATCAATAATCAAAATGTATTTACCATAAAAGCAATGCGATCTCGGGTTTTATTTGACAGCCGAATTGTACAAGACACTTGTCTCCTGACTCGCTCAACTTCAAACCCAAAATAAATAAGTGAAAAAGCAAAACTGGAAAACACAGTAATGGATCAAACTCCAATAAATATAAATAGAACTGAAAAATGGAAAATAAACAAATGAGATCAAATTGAAACTTACATGGGAAACTAAGCCCTGGAGGCTCGATATCAAGAAGTTGTTCTGTGCTCATTCCTTTACGAAAATCAAACATAGTATTATGATTTTATTTTGTCTAATTTTTGGAGGGTATTTTCCAAATAATAATCGAGAAAAGGAAGGATTTGAGGATGAAGAAGCATTAGCATGGAATGAATTCAGGTTGCTTGCAAGTAATAATCCCCAATATCCTATAAATAATCATAAAAAAAGACTCAACGAAACTGTCAGGAAAAGATCAATCTAAAATAAAATGCCATAAAAAAAAATTTCAAACTTTTACAATGGTATATTTCCAAGTTCTAACCTAACAATAATAATTTGACTAAATTATTTTATGAGGAAACAACTCTTGTAGTCAAATTTGCAATTTATTAAACTGGGTACATTGGCGATGAAAAAGCAACTCTCTGACTGGTTCAAAATTTTATCGAACAAATTTCTTCTATATCTATTTCCACCAAATCTGCACCTGGTAATCAACATGAGGAATATACGTGCCAGGTTAACAGATGTTCGAGTTGATATTGAATAATTGCTAAACAATGTGTCCGTACTAGGGTGTGGTAGTTGCGGGTGGATTTAGTAATTCGAGTGAGTTAGGGCGAATCTAGGCGAGCGCAGGACCACTCAATCAGCCGTTGAGTGGCTGCCCAATATATGAAAGACCATGGCTCATTGGTGCTGGCTCCGTCCCTTGTACGTGCCACTTTACTGGCATAGAAGAAACTTAAAACCACCACAAGTATTAACATATTGCAAAGAGGAATTATATAGCATCTTCTTTCCAGAGGAAGAAAAAGGAGGGTGTCAAGCCAGATCACATGTAGGTTCAAGGGAGTATAAACTAATCTTGATACTGGCCGAACATGCTTCGCACACGTCCAAAGCATTGAGGTGGGTGGAGACGGCAAATGGTTTTTAAGCTGTGACGGCCTAACTTCAAATGCGCATAAATTTTTTCTCACTACTTCGAATGGTGATTTGTGTTTTGCATTCAACTCCAAATTCAATTATATTCTACTATGGTATATCATTTGAACAGTGTAGATCTTTGTACCAAATTTTATGCACTAATTTTCTCAAATGTAGCATTTAGGTTTCACCCTGGTTTTGAATCTTTTGCTCTATTTACGTCAAAACTTCATTCATTTAGCATTAATCATCTTAAAATTTATGGTATAACCTATAAACATGATATATACAAATATTAATTAGATTTCATCGCCCAGGCAAGAGTATAATACACGCTTAAAGAAAACAAACACAATTTAACCTCAGGACTGGTTATCCGCATTTTTGCTTTAATTAAAACTAGATCTAATTAAAGAAAACAAACACAATTAATTCTTTAAGTTGATAGTTTCAATGCTCACTGCCTCTATTTAAGAGTTAACTCTACCGAGATCAGATAATATAGGGATGGATTTGATAAACTTTGTGGTGGTACGCCTCTTCAAGATCGTCTAGGACTTCATTAGTTTCTTATTCCAATAACAAACTAGAAGAGAGGAAAAGTCTTTAGTATTGAGAATCTAAAACAGAAGAAGATATTCCCATTTCTTCTGAAGTGATATTTATCCTATCAATCGCCAATTAACCATTGAATCAATGGTTCTTTGCAACGAAAAAAATTGTAGCTGTTTTCCAACAATTCTGATGTGTTTTCCTGTGGTGTTTGCTGAAATAAATAAAATTAAATAAAATTGCATATCAACATAAATTTTAGATACTAATGAAACTAACAAATAAATATCACTCAATCAAGAATTGAAATTGTATTTTTGTGATTACTATTTATCATATACTTCTTATTGTTGTAGGGACACCTATCCAAGTTGGCAGTTGAGTGCCTCTGGAGAGAGCAAAATTAATTTCATCCTCTAATTCATAAGCATAAATACAGAACTCTACTTTCATCTTCGTTTTAACTATATCAGAAAATGAGAAAAAAGAAACACATACACACAAAATGAATTTATGGTTCATCACCATCAGTATCTCTGTTTGCAGTCTCATCCCCGTCTTCTCCTTCCTCTGGGTCTCTATAATCCATGCACATTATTGCATCGTCCAAAGAGAAAATGAACAAAAATGTAAAATAGAGCCTTTACAACCCAATCTTCAACAGAATCCGATACCATCTGGTTTACCATCTTTATCACCACCTTTGTCATAAGAAATATTAAACTCCTATGTAAACAAAGAAATTGTTGAAGTGAAAAACAGGTTCATAGTAAGATTAAACATGTCGAATTTCCATACAAAACCCAAATAATAAAGAACTTAATTCAAGATAAAAAAAATATTGTCATTTGCAGTCTAATAGCCAATATTGTACGAATAACAAATCTATGATAATAGATAAATATTGTCAAAAACCAAATTTCTACGTCCCAAGATTGATACAAGTATTAGTCCTCATCATGTATAGTAATTTTATTTACAAGAACTCAATGTTGATGAAATTGAACTATCTGCATGTGCATTTCTTTGAAGTTCATAAATTATGAATGACAATATAAGTATATATAGAAGTATAGCCATCTGGTAGTAGGTACCACTTCTTTTTCAAAAGGAATGCAAAGCTAAACATTCCTGGTAAGGACAGAAAAAAGTAGTATTATTTCCCAGATAAGTTGTCGCCAAGTCAAAACTATGATATTGATTTTATGTAATAACTGATGGAAATTTGATTCCGAGATAGACACTAAGACCGTGTTTAATCCACATTATTTGAAAAAAATACATTCTTAAATAGTGATTTGACATCATTTTAACGACACATTCTTCAATAAAATATTACACGCAAATCCAAAACTTTTCATTATTTTTTAACCACACATTTCTCATCAATACACTATTAAAAAATGCATTTTTTCCAAAATAATGTGGCTCAAACAAGGGCTAAGATAATTCATTTTTAATTTTCTGGCCACGGCTTTGGTAGAGATAGATGTATTTTCTAGAGTTGTTGCTCATACAGAGCCTTTAAATCCTCAAAATTTCATTGGTTTTCAATGGCAAAACCACAAGTTTAGACTCCAATGTTCATGTTTGTGGAAAATCATTCATCATTCAGGGTACGAATAAACAGTAAATCTATTTTGTCGATAATGTGGCACCAGTCAATCCAATATTGATTAATATGTATTGATGGAACACTACTTGCAAGCCAAAAAAGGTGGGGCCTCAACCTTTGAGAAATAGAGCAAGTGGGTTCTCAACCTTTAATTTATAGCAGTTGAGTTGTCAACCTTTACACTAAATAAAATATGTCGCTAGCATTTGGTTTCTGTCCTTGGAACATGACAAAGTCAACTTTTTGTTAAAAAGACCTCCGTCTTCTTAATTCTTTTATATTTTCTTTTTCTTTCATTTTACTTTGGCAGATTTTTCATTTTTCTTTTTTAACTGCATATAAAACTAAGGGTATAATTGTTTTGCAAAGAAAAATTGAATTTTAAAATGCTGAAATGGACAGAACCGTCTACTGGAGACCTATTTGCTACAGAACTACAAACTGAAGGTTGAGGACCTACTTGTTATATTTTGTTCAGGTTTGGGACTGCAGCTGTAATTTTCCCAATATGTAATAAGTTTGTGTGTTGCAATTATCAGTTATAGTCTTATAGAGACTTGAATGAAATCAAAAACTCAGGAACTTCAACTGTCACTGCCTCACACTTCTTAAAACTCAACACAAATGTCACAAGTAATTATTAGTTTCCGTAAGGGCAAATGAAACACTGAACATAAAATGGACATTAATAACTCAATGACGAATTTTTTTCACAAAAAGTTCTTTTGGATTCTAGAGCACAAGAGTTGAAAATCAAGCTTTTAGTCAATTGAATCTGTCTAAACTCAATTTAGATATGCAGCCTCAATCACTGGTTTTTAAGTCGATAAGACATAATTCTTGTCATGAAATGTTGTAGTGAGTATAAGTATAAAACAAAAGATGAATACCCGATGAGCAGCATGGCGATTTTCATGATGCACCAGATAACTATGCCAAACAAGCCAATGATGATTAAGCCCAAGATTACATCACGTCCATTATTTACATTTCTGTCATGCCCAGGTACAACCTACACAAGTCAAAAAGGTTGCAGATGTAATTTATCAGCATACAACGCAGACAAGATTACCTAGAACTGGATCTGACCTGAACCAGCCAGTTCAGTCCGGCTCTATTTGATTCCCCCTTTTTTAACTGAGAACCAGACAGTGTAATCTGGTTCTCGAGATTTATTTTTAAACCAAACCCAAACCACCCTACGCAAAAATTTTATTTTTTATTTGTTGAATTCTGACTGGTTACTGCATTGAACCAACCCACAACTAATCAAAATGAAAGAGAAATGAGAAGAAAGTCAAGAATCTCCAACCAAAATTTCTTTCTCCATTCCAAATTCTCATTTTCTCTGCAGCTCAATTTATTAAGGTAAAATTTATAGTTCTTATAGTACAATTCAGACGTATCTAATAGTGTATTCTGTTGAACAATTTTTTTATTCTTTTCCGAATAAAAGAATTTATTGTTGGAAGATTTTCCATTTTGTTTCTAGAGAGACAACGGCCAGAACCTTTATCATTTCTGTGATAGCTACTAATTTTCTTGTCCATGTGAGTGAGTGCATGTGCGCGCATGCTTGAAAAGAACCTTGTCCCAGAAAATATCATTGAGAGAATTACTTCATTCATCAAATATGTGTCCTCTATCTTTGTATTCTCTCTTTCCATACTTAAAATTATTCTGTTTTCAATCAAATTAAGGAAAAAGACTCATAAGCTGATGTTTCTTCTGTGAGTGTTGAGTCTGTGGATGTGTAACAGAGTAGCATAGATTACAGGTTTTATATGAATAATCATGTAGGGGCTGTTTGATAAAATTGCATATACATGCTTGCAGGATAAAAGTACGGGAGTGTTTGGGCAAGGTGTATATTGTATGGTAGATATATTGGTTAAACGAGATCTTAAATGTTGGATGAATCAAGGAAGAGTGTCAAATATGTTTCTAGAATAAAAGAGATATTTAAGAATATAGATTTATAGAAATACTAAGCTCGTGGGATATACTATGAAATTATGGAAGAGGGTTTTGTGCACGAATTAGGGTGTAACTCAAAGGTATCAAACTATTAGTTTGCTATATGTGAGAGAGATCTACTTTGGAAGCCTTTTATCCACTTAGGAGATTTTTGCTTAAGTACAAATAAAGCCTATGGTAGGGCGCCTAGGAAAGTGTTAATGATGTGTGCTATAGAGAGAGAGCTTCTATAGGATATATCAATAATACTAAAGATAACATGATGGACCAGTCATGAGAATGAGACGTAGTGGCGGTTTGTAATACAGTGTGTCGATCACTATAGGCTTTGCACCAAGGTTTTGCCTTAAGTTCTAATATGGACGAGTTTACAAGACATTTCCATGGTGAAGTTTCTTGGTGCATATTGTTCACTGAAAATTTAGTTTTTGCTGATGAAACTAGAAAGGAGTTGAATAGCAAGAAAGGTTTTAGGTCAAGTAAAACCAAAATGATCTGCAATGTCATTTAAGTAAACAGCTCATTTTTGAGAAATTTTAGTTCAGTTATTGTCATAGAAATTATAGATTGATGATGAAATGCATATGATTCAAGAAGGGTATAGATGAAATGCTAAATTACTAAATGAATTCTGAATAATAAGAAGATCTCTAAAAGGTTAAAATGTCATTTTCATGAAATAATTAACTGACTCATATTACGGCACTGAGTGTTTAGCTATCAAAAGACAACTTCACAAGATGTAGTAGTAGAAATAAGGATAATCAGGATGAATATGAGCAAGCGCACTAGAATAGATCAGATAAGAAATTTGAATGTTTAAAAGGTGAAGATGATCAAATTAAGAACAAATCGAAGGAAGGACTATTTAGGTCATTAAAGAATGTCATGCATGTATTTTAAAGAGACTCTTGATCATAATAGTAATATAATCTCAAAAGGACAAGTTCCAAGAATGAGGGTATAACAACAAAATCTCTACCTCCATAGATTTTGCATGGTATCAACAAAATGTTGTACTAACCCGCCAAATCCAACAAAGATGCAAAATGAAAAGTCTACTTTTTAAGGGGATGCTAATTAAAACAATAAGAAAAAAGTTCCAATAATGAAACAACCTCGGGATTATTTGAATTTCTTGCTTCCACGTCTGATACATTCCGTGAAAAACCTTTTTCTGATGTCATTGTTGATGGTGGATGTGGCCAGAATACATACTCCACTCTAAGTTTGCACTCTTCACACTTGTTGAACAATATAATAACAAAAACAAAAACAAAAACTAATATATAGATTCTACCAATCAACTACCATGTCAGCAGGGATGTCGTTTGTAGTTGCAGAAGCATTTGCAACTACACTCTGAATTAGAAATTTATCACTGCATTTCACATCTGGAGGAAACTCGTTCTGTGCTTGCATTTTCACTACGTATAGAAGAAAATAATTAACAAAGATCCTGCAATTAATCATGGTTAAACAATGATGATGTTATTTGTAGAAATCCCGAAATCAATTATGGGATTATTGTAAGGTATAAATAGAACTAAGTTAGAAAATATTTTTTCCTTTCTTAAGTTAGAATATTATTTTCCTTTTCTTCACAATTGTATTGTATTATATATTGAGGCACAATACTGTAAGAATAATTAATTAAAAAAAGAGAAACGATTATTTCTCATTATGTCTTTATTGACTTTATGGTATCAGAGCTCGGTTAAATCCAAAACTGACTCTCAATGGCGGAAAATGCCACCAACGATAAAAACTCGGCCAATCTGAGACAGAAAATGGTGAAACCGAAGTCATCCATACCATGAATTCAATTGGAGTTGATAATTCCTTTTTCCAACTCATGGTGGAGAAACTAGACGGTAAATTATAGAGAATGTGCTCAATCAATTAAGTTGGTGATTGACGGGAAAGGAAAATTAGGTATCTTACAGCGATACAAAGAAGCGTATGGATGCAAAACTTCAATAAAAATAGAAATTGGAGAACTTCATGGTAATGTCTTGGCTAGTCAATTCGATGAAGCCTACGATTGGCAAGATCTATCTCTCCATGGCAACTGCGAAGGACATATGGGACATCGTTCGAGAGATGTACATCGACGCGGAAGATTCGTCCCAAATTTTTGAAATTAAAACTAAACTGTGGCAAGCCAAGCAAGGAAAAAGGGAAGTCACTAAATATTACATGGAGATGACTACCATCTGGCAAGAATTGGACCTCAGCATCTGTAATGATTGAACTCAGCTTCGACCAAACCAGGTAAAATATAATTCCAATTAACACAAAAAAAAAAGATCAAATCAGATGATATCAAGGACCCAAGCTGGAAATATATTAGTTGAATTGAACTTCACAGAAAAAACAAGAACTACAAAATAGAGAAAGGGGGCAGAATGGAAGGGAAAGAGAGAAGGAGAGAATTTTGAGAGGAAAAGCTCACAATGATCCTGATCTTTTTCGCGCCCTTATTTCTTCTCTCACCCCCAATTCTAAGCAAAATAGAAGGAAGGAACACATTTATGAAAATACAATATATATAAAACGCATTCTTATTACATTCGGCACTATTGACTCAAAAAGACACTATTTCATTTATTCAAAATGACACCATCACTTGATTTCAAAATCGGTGGTTGCTTGTCTTTTTCCTGGTGCCTCTTACTTTGTCTCCCCATTTCAGCTAGCTCCTTCATAACATCCCTCCCCCTCAGCTACACCTTGTCTCTAAAGTTGAAAGGATGGAAAAGATGCCTGTATATTCTCAGCATTCTCCCAGATCACCTCATCTGGTTTACAGCTAGCCCATTCTGATTGACTTGCCATATAGACAACACCCTTAGAGGCTGAGTATACTTTCGATGTCCTTGATTTTGATTTGGAAGAGTACGAATATGAACTTCTTTCTCCCCAATCTTCTTCTTAAGTAATGAAACGTGGAAGATTGGATGAATTACGGCCGTAGTAAGTAGTTCTAGCTTGTAAGCCACTGATCCTATTCTCCGAATTATATGAAATGGACCATAATACCTTCCAGAGAGTTTGTTGTTGGTTCTTCTAGCCACTGTTTGTTAAGCATAGGGATGTAACTTAATATAAACCCAATCTCCCACCTAAAATTCTCTCTCACTCCTGTGTTTATCTGCATAATGTTTCATCTTAGCTCTAGCTTGTGCCAGATCCTCTTTCAGTAGCTAATCCATTCTGTGTCTTTCATGAAGTATTTCCTCTACCACTGCGATGTTACTCTGTTGGTATGGACCCAAAGCCAATTGGGGTGGTTTAAGACCATATAATGCCTCAAATGGGGTCATTTTAATAGCTGTGTGTAGAGTGGTATTATACCACCATTCGGCCAAACTAACCCATTTGCTCCATTGCTTAGGTTGCCTATAAACAATGCATCGAAGACACATTTCTAAACATTGATTCAGCCTCTCCGTTATAGCGTCCTTTTTATATAAACCCATTTATTCCTCTTTCAAAAATTTTGACTTAATCAATATTTGTTAAAACAGGTCCTAAGAGAGGTCTTTAGGACAAAATTCTAAATGGTTTACATAATTTGAAATAGATTAACAAAGGTAAAAGACCTTCCGCTCAGGTTTCCAAAATTTTGGAAAGAATTCTGGCGACTTCAGTTTGGGGGTGATAAGCTGTACTTAACTGTAGTTTGACCCCCCAAATGCTTGAACAGTTCTTGCCAAAACCCACTAGTAAATATTCTCTCTGTTCATTACAATGCTTTGTGGCATGCCATGTAACTTGTAGATGTGATCTAAAAACAACCTCGCTATAGAAGCTGAGAATGGATGAGCCAGGGTGATAAAATGTGCATACTTAGTAAACCTGTCTACCACCACTAATATCATATTTTTAGCACCAGATGTAGGTAGACCTTCAACGAAATCTATGGAGATATGACTCCACGCATACTGTGGTTCAAGTAAGGGTTGTAAGAGCCCAGGATATGCTACATGTTCATTCTTATACCTCTGACATGTATCACATTCTAAAACTTCTTGCTTAATCTCTTTGCTCATCCCCGGCTAGTAGAAGTACTGTTTCACTCTGTGAATGCTAGCTTGAACTCCAGAATGCCCTCCTTGCAAAGCATGAATGGCTGTAATCAGCTGCTTTCTCACCCTTCCATCAGTTCCAATATAGATTTTGGATTTGTATTTAAGTAGCCCATTTAAGTACTGATAATCTGGATCAGCCTAGCCATCGTAACAGGGCATTAATTTTATCTTTTACAACTCCATCCCCTTCATAACTGGCTATCACTTCTTCTATCCATTGGGGTGTCACCGCAGTGACAACTAGGCATTTCATCTCTCTTCTGGATAAAGCATTTGCTACCTTATTATCTAAACCCTTCTTGTACTGAATCTTATAGCCGAGTCCCAACAGCTTAGATAGCCACTTTTGTTGCAATGGGATAGTGATTTTTTGCTCCAACAAATATATAAGTAACTAATGGTCAATTTTAATGATAAAATGATGACCCTCTAGATAGTGCCTCCACTTCCCAACGACAGTTACTAGTGCTAGGAGCTCCTTCTCATAGATTGATAATCCCAAATTCCTGCTACAAATGCCCTTACTCAGGTAGGCTATAGGTCTTCAGTTTTGCATCAAGATAGACCCTAATCCACCATAACAAGCATCAGCTTCTATGACGAAGGGTATAGAGAAATCCGACAACACCAGAACTGGTGTAGTACTCATGGCCTTCTTCAATTTAATTTTTGGAATGCTAATTCAGCACTTTCATTCCAATGGAAGCTATCTTTCTAAAGTAGGTCAGTGAGAGGCCTGTCAATAGCTCCATACCTTCTTACAAACTTTCTATAATACCCCGTTGGGCCAAAGAACGCCCTAAGCTGCTTAACATTGACCGGTGTAGGCCATATTTGCATTGCAGTGATTTTAGAAAGGTCAACTGATACCCTTTCTGCAGAAATAATATAGCCTAGGTATTCGATCTGAGATTGTCCAAAGAAACACATACTATCCTTAGCATAAAGTTGATGGTTTTTTAGGGTTTCCAATACCACAATAACAGGCTCACGGTGAGATGTTAAGTCAACATTGTACACCAAAATATCATAAAAAAAACACTAAGATGAACTTTCTGAGATGTTGCTTGAATACCTCATTCATCAAGCATTGAAATGTGGCTGGTGCATTTGTCAATCCAAATGGCATTACTCTGAATTCATAGACCTTCATAAGTTTTGAAGGCTATTTTATGGACATTTTCAGTAGCTACTCTAATTTGATGATAGTCAGCCCTCAAATCAATCTTGGTAAACCACTTGGCTCCCTTCAACTCATCCAACAATTCATCTATCAATGGCATAGGATATTTGTCCTTGATTGTCAGATTATAAAGCTGTTTATAATCTACACAGAATCACCAAGTACCATCTTTCTTTTTGACCAACAACACAGGTAAAGCGAAGGGACTATTACTTGGTTGTATGATGCCATTTTCTCTCATTTCTTTAACCATCATCTCTATTTCTGTCTTTTGTATGTATGGGCACATGTATGGTCTCATCCTAAATGGTTGTGCCCATTCCTTTAGAGATTTATGGTGATCATTGAATCTGGGTGGGAGGTAAGCCTTTTGGCTCCAAAAACACCATGGGAAATTGCTTCACCACAGCTCTAGGTTTGCAGGAGTAGATTTCTGTTCTTCTTCAGTGATGGCAGCAATCTGTGCCATTACTCCATAAGTTTGACGCCTACACCATCCTTTCTCTTTATTGTCAATCAACATTTGAAATTCCTCCCTAATAGTTTCATCTCGAAGTTCCATTTTGACTCCTTCATAGTTGAAAGTGATGATTTCCTTTATGAAATCAAATAATAGAGGGCTGAATTAACTTAGCCAGTCCACCCCTCGTACCATATCGCTGCCCCCTAATTTGAGAAACCTCAATTTGTATTGGAACTCCAGATCTTGCATCTTCCAAGTTAGCAGGTTGCAAATAACTTTGCTAACTAGTTTTCCTCCTCCTAAATGCAGACACTGAGGTAGGTTTGGCTACTTGTAGGCTGCAATTAATGCTACTGGCCAACTGCTCATCAATGAAGCTATGAGTGCTTCCACTATCTATCAGAATAGACACCTTTTTCCTTTCATCAACCCTAGCAACCTGATAGTTTTACCCCTGTTACTGCCTACCAATGCATATAGTGAAATTTCCATTAGTTCATCCACTCCTC